CCTTCAGGACCCCAGGGCCATGCGTTGTGGTGCTGAGCCTCTGAGAGACCTGGGTCAGTAGATGTGCTCGGGTGCGCCCAGTGGAGACCAGTATGGGAAGACCTTGAGGAAAAAGAAAACAAACATCATTATTCATTTTAAACAGCTAAAGGGTTGGGTGATGTTGACATCAATATTGTTAATGGTTCTGTGAACTGTGTAAAATTCAGGAGGATGGACGTAATTTCACTTGAGAGGACTTAAATTAGTATTTGTCACTCCCAAGAAGGGGGAATTTATTAGTCGGCCATAACTTGGCAGCTGGGGCTCAGGTGGACACAGTGGCACGTTCTCCCTTGCTTCCTTCAGATTCAGCCAACAGAAATCCCGCATGGGGTGGAGCGGAGTGATGCCGGGCCACAGGTCTGGGGAATTACGCCTCTGAAATGTCAGTTCGTTCTTAGCAGGGCTGTAGGCCTGAGTTTTAATTTTGGGAGCCACGCAAGGTCAGTGGAACGTTTACACTGTTTTCCGGTGTAAATAAATATAGGAGCGCTGTACATCGGGAGGAATTGGGGAATTGGACTAGGAAAATTTCCTATGGAAGATAGCCTGTGTTCTACCAGAATGACAAATCCTGTGCCATCACTGCAGTGGCATTCAGATGCTTGTTACACTCGAACTTTTTATATGAACTAGGATATTTATGTACTCTGGATATTAATATGGATTTACTGGTTACGCAAGCACCGTTTTCCAGCTGAATTTCAGTACCAGAAGTTTTCTCATGGAACAATTTTTTACAGCTTTGAGTACAGAAAATACTTGAAAGATGTAGTATTTCCAGTGGCTCACTGAATGCAGTACCACTGAATCTTCCGAACACCTCTTTCCAATCCATTTAGGGACATAAGTGGTTCGTTGGAAGAACTTGAACTGCACACTGGCTTGTATGACTTGTGTACATTCTTGTTGGTAAAGCTGTCTGTACACAGGAAGTGGCTTTTGGTCATAAGTGGATCAGCAAGAGCTTGGTTTTATAGCAAAGCTATGATCAGGTCAGAGATGTGATAACATGTTGGGGAACTGATATTCCTGCTCTTTGTCTAACTCAATCTGACACCTTGTAAGCAGCAAAACCTTTTAATGGGTATATGACGGTATCTGAAATTCAAAGCTTATTTTCTAGATTCCCCACTAGATTACCTCTACATTTAGTAATTCCCCACCCAGTGCTGGGGCTGAGAAGCTGTGATAATTTCTAGGTGGTTCCCGCACCCTGATGGGAGCTGTGCAGGCACGGACTCCGCCAGTTCGGGTGCTGTACTTCCTTCTCCCATCTGGGTCTCTGCTCTGTGCCACACCTGCACAGAGGAGACATAATGCTTCATGGGCTTTAATGAGGGTTATAAAGATCTGGTGGACATGGACCTTGTTATTCTCAAGGTGAGAGCTGCTCCTGTTTACGTTTTAACTCTTAACAAGCAGTTTTCTCAAAGGGCAATTTCTTACAACTTCGAGTACAGAAAATGCTTTAAAATTTGTCAGATGACAAGAGGAGGAGTTCCTGTGTGTTGGGAGCAGGAAGGAAAAAGGAAGATGTTGAACAGTGGTGTTAGCAAGGCAAGCTGTATAATACAGAAGGAATGTTTTAGCTACATGTTCTTAAAACTAAGTTATGACTTTGACAAACAGGTTAATGCAAACAAATCTTCTGTCTCTGCTCAACAGATGCCATCTTGCCTCCGAAGAAGGGACGAATACCTTCCAGAATAGCCATGAACTGTTTATGGAGAGTCCTGGCTGTTTTCTTACCATTTCTTCCAAGCACATTGTCTCTCCAGCCAGCCCAGGCCAAAGTGTTGCTGGTATCTTTTGATGGATTTCGGTGGGATTACATTTATAAAGTCTCAACTCCCAATTTTCATTATGCCATGGAGAATGGTGTTCACGTCAAACAGGTCACTAACGTGTTTATAACGAAAACGTATCCTAATCATTATACAATGGTGACTGGTCTCTATGCAGAAAGCCATGGTGTAGTTGCTAATGAGATGTATGATCCTATTCTGAATGAAACGTTCTCTTTGAACAGAATGGATATCTACAACTCCAAGTTCTGGGAAGAAGCCACTCCAATATGGATAACAAACCAGAGGGAAGGGCATAAAACTGGTGCAGCCATGTGGCCTGGGACAGATGTGAAAATACACGGAGCCTTTCCTACGTATTATATGCCCTATGACTTTCTTGTTTCCTTTGAAGATAGAGTTGCTAGGCTTGTTGACTGGTTTACATCAGAAGAACCCATAAACTTTGGTCTCCTATACTGGGAACAGCCTGATCAGATGGGCCATATTCTGGGTCCGGAAAACCCACTTATGGGACCCGTAATTAGTGATATTGACAAAAAGCTGGGATATCTTCTGTCCGAGCTGAAGAAAGCAAAGCTATGGGATGTGGTTAATGTCATAATCACAAGCGATCACGGAATGTCAGAGTCCTCCTCGGAAAGGCTCATTGAGCTTGATCAGTATGTGAATAGAGAGCTCTATACAATCATTGAGCAGTCTCCTGTGGTAGCTATTTTGCCAAAAGAAGGTAGGAGTTATAGCAGTAAAATTCTCTGAAGAAAATACTTGACTATGAGCCCTTATAGACTTTGTTCCTTAACTGAAGTGGCAGTAGCAGCACTGATGCCGGTAGGGCATCAGCCTTGAACAAGGAGTACTTGCAGGATCACTCCTTTGTTCTCTTTGCTAGCTCTGTCAAAAGCCTGGATTAACTTTCTGACATGAATTGTGAGCAATTTGTCTGCTGTTGACTAATATTGCCAAATATCCTTTAGTCCTTATGAGAAGAAAGCTAATCTAACAGCATTATCAAGGATGAATGGCGTTCTAGGTAGATAATAACTGAATGTCACGTATCTTGCCTTTCATCAAAATGATATGGCTAAAGCAAGAATGGAAGAATTAGTTTTCTAACTCAAACAGTAAACTGAAACCAGATGAGGACCTGTGATAAAAAGAAAGCCTGTGTTGGCTGTTTGGTCAGCTGCCAGCTATTGTAGTTCACTTCAGCTTTTTCCCCTATCATGCTGAACAGCCAGCCAGTTATGTTCATACCATTTTTATTGTCATAATGATGGGCAAGAACACTGCTGGAATCAAAACCTGAAGTCTGGTTGCAGTCAGTGAAGGGTTGCTTAAGTGTCAGGTGTATGTTTAGGGTAGTGATGTCAGGGTGCTGCTGTTTAGTTGGATGATCAAAAGCTGTAACTATTTGGTGCGAATGCGTTAACCTGGAAGATAGCGGGTGTATGTGTGGGCAGCAGTGCTAACTTGGAAGTTGAGTTTTAAGGTGATCTGAAAAGGTGTGTTTTAAGATTTCTTTAACATTTGCATTACTAGTGGATAGGACTCTACTTAAGGCCCAAGCAGGGAGGGTATTTTGCAGACCTAAATGACCTTTAAATATGTAAACAAATGTCTCCTGTCATTTTGTAGTTTGAAGAATACTCCAGGCTAAAAGGTTAGTACATCCAAACTGAGTCGTTTGCTACCTGAGCATGCTCAGGTGCTTATAGCTGGGTGTTGTTTCTCTCAGTGGTGATAGAAGAGCTGAGTTTGGGAGTCCTATCCTAATGGAGACAAACAAGGTTGATCACAGTGTTCTCATTACCAAATAAAGGAGTTGTAAACTTTAGTGCTGAAACATCCCTAATACAGTAAATGAGAACTTAAAGATGCATAACCTGATTCTTCTGCTAGATGCTGAAAAGAAATAGTATCTCTGCAGCAATTAGATCACAAAGTATTAAAAAAGCCAAAAAGGTGTTTCAGTGGGTTTCAGAAATAGCTTGGATTTGGTTTTGAGCACAGCTAAAAGTCTTTCCTTCTGTGTTACCAGCTGTAATTTTTATTATAAACCAATGAGCTTCATTCTCCATTTAGGTATGAAATACATATACTTAAGTACATACAGCTGATTCTTCAAGTTATTCCATTTGTCTTGCTTGTAAAACTTAGGGAGCCATCGAGAAAAACTTTGAATGCTTAAACATGCAGCAGTTTCTGCTCCTTTAACTGTTTAGCTGCATACTTCTTCCCTGAGAGATGGATTAAAGCTGTTGTTTAACTATGATAGTGTTCTAGTGTGTATGGAACTAAGTATATGTTCACAAAGATGGTACCTGTAGCACAGCTGGTGATGCTGGCCGTTTTTCTTGCATATAACATAAATACAGTAATTCAAAGAATTAATTTAGTGTGAAAATCATAGTTTGCTGTATTTGGGGCTTCTCCTCCCTGTTATCCCACATAGAAAAGTGGCATAACAAAATCAATTTTGTTACTAATGGAGTACTAGAAATGCTAGATTGGAGTCCTTTTACCTGTTGCTGTAACTATCATATCCGGACTTCTGCTGTCTCATCTTGACCTTTATTGCGAAGATTATTAAGTTTAGTGGTTCTTTTTTTATGCCACTTTGAGTTAATTAACATTATACATTAATCCATTTCCAGTTTTCCTTCAGAATCTCTATACCGGATCCTAGGAACTGAGGAGGAAAATGGAGAGGTTTTCTTTAAAGTCATTGGTTACCTCCTCGCAAACTTTTTTCCCCTGGGATACATGCAAAATTCCATGCACACTGTAAATGATAGGCTGGATTTTAACCTGGTTGTACTTCAGGCGGCATCAGACAGGTCAAACTAAGTGATTGATCTTGTGGTCATCAAGGCAATTGTTTCTTGGGATCGACACTCAGAGAAGAGTTCACTTGGAGGAACACCCACTGTAGGATGTGGCTGTGAAGGCAGAATGAGGAAGAAATAAGTCTTCAAAATGACAGGATGTACTTAAATTCCCCCTTGTCTGCTAAAAATGGCAGTGTTGGCCACAAAGGAAACGTAAACACCTTCTCACTGTGCTTCAGACCTTGTAGCACTGAAACTGGCCTGCAGAGACTAGCTGTGAACTCTGCTGTCAGACTGACTTGTGTATGTGTGCAGCACAAAGCACTTTAAAGTCATGGAGCTGAGTTACTTGGTGTCTAGCAGAAGTCTAGTATATGTGCTGCATGGCCCTTATACAGGAATCTCTGCTGAAATGGGGGTGGACTTGAAGAAACTTTCTCAGATGTAGATTCTTGAACTTGCTTTTGTGTTCCTGTCTGCATGTCCTGGTTCCTCCTTCCTGCACGCTGGTGTTCAGCTTGTTCAACTGCTTTCTGGCTGTTCAGTGACTTTACTGGAAAGAAAAGCTCAGAGACTGGAAATAAGCAAATAAAGAATTGGGAGTAGAAAGTGCTTATTTGGTAGTGTCAGTACAGCACTTGAGGGTTTACACTCCCTGTGCAGTAGATGACTAGGGAAGGGAAAAGAGTAGAGCTAAGAATACAAGGGAGTGTGTAGTGATGTTAGCTGCTCCTATTAAGTACACAGAGTTCTAGACCAGAAGTGCCATTTCACCTGTCAGTCCAACCTGTCCCTTTGTCCTGTGTTCCCTGCTTAGGCCTCTGCAATCTTTGTGCAGCTCCTAATGCATTAATGGTGTCTGAACTGTGACCTGAGGGCTTCTGTTGAAAGATTAATGAAAGCTAATCATGCTTATCCCTAAGCAATTAATTGCTATTATTGCGATGTTACATGGTGCACAGCAACAAAGTTTCCTACTCTTTCTAAATCGGCTAAACTTGTCATCAGAATGGTAGTAGATCAAAACTGTGAATCTAATTAGGTCAGATATGTAGCTGTTTATTGGAGCATCATGTAGAAGAACTACTTGGTTTCACTCCTAAGTTTTCAGAGATGCCAAGAAACAAAGTGGCTGCTCTCTGTGGCCTTTTAAGGGAAAGCAATTAACAACTAAACTGCTTTAAAATAAATAAAAGGTGTCACTTGTAATCATAGCTAACTGAAGGGAAGAAGAATATGGCCTTAACATGTGCATTACCTCATGAACAGGTTTAGGAGGTTTATCTTCTTGCTTTCAAGCTTTGCATGGAGCTAGGAGGAGCTGGTTTCTTTTCCATGAGTGTTAATGGAATGCTTCTAACTTGTTCCTGTGAGAAGCTTATGTTCTCTTAACTATGAAATGAGGGATTTTTTTAAATTAGCAAGGCACTTACTGCTTGGGAATAGGCTGTGGAGGCCAACGCTGGGTGTGACCTCACTGTCAGTGACACTCTGGATTTCTCACAGTAACTTCTGTGCACGTTTTAATCTGCCCTTGTCTTTTACAGCTATAATTAGCTTTTGGGGAAGCTAATTTTGGGGGCATTTTACCCTCTTTTTTCAGTTGTATTTAAACTACTGATGAGGTCAGTAAGCATACCGCTATGTTTAAGTTTTGTCTTTTGTTTCCTTGAAGGCAAACTGGATGAAGTATATGAAGCTTTGGCCAATGCTCATCCGAACATGACCGTATATAAGAAGGAGCAGATTCCAGATAGATTACATTACAAACACAACAGTAGAATTCAGCCAATCTTAGCAGTGGCTGATAAAGGATGGGAAATTCTGTATAAGAAGTCTGACTTTTTTCAACGTAAGTATTCTGTCTTTACAGTGCTGTGTTTTCCTAGACAGAGGCCTTACCTGGTGCTTTCTCTCCCGGTCTCAACCAGTGTTAATCTTTATTTTATTTTAAGTCTGGGAAGGAAAATTCTGTAGCTAAGTGTGTAGAATTTGTAGTTTATTTTTATCCCTGATGGGATGGGTGAGGAGGAACTGGACTTCCCATTTCAAAAAGTAAAACTTACTGAGATATCATCGTTCATGTGTTTTAGTGGCCACACACTTGAGGTCTTCTTGTGAGATCTAGCAAACTGACAAGCACTTTCTGAGAGATTAAAATGAAAGTTGTAACTGAACTTGCTGAGTAGAGGATGAATTGCTTTGTTTTGTCAGGTACTGTTTACTTGCTGGAGAAGGGTTGCGTTGGAAATACAGGAATGCTTTCTGAGTGGCCTCAGTTTCTGTGGATGTATTTGCTTACAGTAACCTTGTTCTATTGCTGGAAAGAGTCCTCAAATACTGTGTTACTGCACAGCAGTGATTTTCATTTACCTTGTAGGCTAAGATGCATTCTAGGTGACTTGGAGGAAAAAAAAAACACATTCCAGTTCCTCTCCTTGGGGTTTCAGATTTAGTATAGATAGAATGGAGATGGTAAACCACAGCTTTTGGTTAACTATGAGGAAAAATAAAGGTGTCATATGGTTAGTCCTTAGCTTTCTTAACTGAAAACCTTTTAAACTTTTCTGCTGGTTACGTAGCTGAAGGGTGTTACCTGTAAGACAAGTATTTCAGTTATTGATAGCTGATGACAGCAGCTATTTGTGCCTGCAGGTTTATTTACTTGTGCAGGGCTTTCAGTGCCCTGCAAGGAGCGCAGGCACTGGAGACCCACTAGTGAGACTTGCAAACTTTTCCCTTGTTGATGAGTAGATAGTGAGCAAAACAGGACAAAGTGTCAAAGCAGCCACAGCTTAAGTTCTGTCAGCTACTAGGAGTCACACAGTCTGTCTTTATATGGATTTCCCCTCCCTCACTCTCTCCCTCCAAGAGATCTGGTCCAGTTGCAAAGTTGGAGTTTTTCCTTGGGGAAAAAGAAGGAAACTTGGGTGTAGTCCAGGGTGCCATTGGCAGTGCTGTTACTGCCATGTGAGCTTACCTTTTTTTACCTCTTTGTTAAAAATAGCACTCTCCATTCTTTTTTTTAAAGCATCTTCTCTTTTCTAAGACTTGGTTTTTTGCTGAGAGACATTTATGCTGCTGGTCAAAATCATTCTCCAAAACTTGTGCAAGACTAAATGATGTCTGTTCCTTTTCTGCTTTCTGTTAATTTTAGCAAAAGGTTCAATGCTTGTTTTGCATCTCCAGGATATTGACCTTCATCTATCTTTCATTTTCAGCTGGTAATCACGGATATGACAACATTTTACCAGAAATGCATCCAATTTTCCTGGCAGTTGGGCCTGCTTTCAGAAAGAATGTCACAAAAGAAGCCATGAATTCTACAGACCTGTATCCCTTATTGTGCCATCTCCTTGGTATTAAGCCACTGCCAAACAATGGTTCTTTCAATGCTGTGAAAGACCTACTTGCTGAAGAAGTTCCCTCTGGAGCAGACACCTATGCTACTGTTGTAGGAGTCTTTCTGGGCAGCTTTCTTGTTATGGTATTTATTGCAGTTTTTGTTAAGCATTTTATCCTCATCCAAGCAAACACCATGCAAATGCAACACACTGAAGCTGCCCATCCACTGTTGCAAGATTAGTAACACTTGGTACTATTTCCTGTTTCATGCTTAATATAAGCTTACACAAAAAAAAAGTCACAAAAATGAACAGAGGTGGGTCAGCATAAATATGTGGAGTAAAAAGAAATGGGTGCTGATCCATTGGTACAACGGAGTACATACCAGGTATGCAGAGAAAGAGCATGTTTCTGTTTCAACCTACAACCACTTAGTCTTTCAGGGGTTGAAAATACTCTAGGGACACCTGGAAAACTGCAAGTGTGTAGATCTTGAATACCTGATTCTGACCTACTTTTAGGGAAATAACATCAGCTGAGGTGCGCTTCATAGACTATTACCTGGTGATTTAATTTAATTTAATTTAAAATTTAATTT